CTGTATCGGATGATTTTCATGATGTGACTACTCTCAGCTTCTGTTAAATTGTTGCTTTTTTGGATTGCTTCCTGTTCAGAAAACAGACCCAAACTTATTAAGCTTCCACTTTATTGCGTCTCTCTCGTATTCAAACTGTCATCGCTCTGCTATTAGCTCATCTTGCCAATGGACTGTCCTTCCACAAGTCACAATAATTACTACTTCTATAGTATTGATCAGAATTTAATCAAACTTACCCACAATAATCATCTAATGGGTCTTTACCAAAATTGTGCTCAAGGACACTTTTTTGTCATTTTTATAGGCACTTGTCCATGTTCACAGTATAACCTTCATGCATACTTCTTCCAGTCTCATAATATGTTTGCCTCTGATGTCTTGAACAGTAATCAATTTAAATCATATTTATCAGTCTTTAACATGTTCATGAACTTCATGAAGTGCCAAATGATGTGAAAGTTTGAAAGTATTGCTTTGCCTTTATATGTTGCATACCACTTGTATCCCATTAGACTGCAATGATCCTTATTGGTCATGATCATGGCAGGAATCATCCCATTGTTTTACTCCCATATTCATAGATATTTCATGTTAATACTTTAGCAGCTACACCCACAGTCTGGTCACATGCTCACTCCTCACAGTCTTTGGCATTTTAAAGTCTGCCAACGACTGTGAGTGGAAAGTCACGTGATTGTGCCCATCGATAAAGTGAGTTTTTTCCAGTTCTGCCAGCTCTTCTCCATAGATTCAGTATTTTCATGCCACTGAAGTTCACATTTAAATAGTGAATCGGGCCTAAGACATTAATCATTGCAAGGATTGCAAAGCACCTTTGCAATGCATGCTCATGTTGTTTGTAAAAACAAATTAGCCTAAAACTGATGTTAATTCGGACTTATTTAAAAAATGTCTGCAAAACCAGACGTGTTACAGCAGCTGAGCTAAAAAGAATCTTTGACGTACAGTTTTTATGATCTAATCTTGCTGGAATTTAAACGTGAAATTTCATAAGGGATTTAACTAGATTATGATTTTATAAGAACATTTGATAGCATAAAATGTGTGACAATACAGTGGAGAAAACAGTCCTCTTTTGCACATTTTGTTTTCCTTCTTTGTGTCTTTTTTTTATACAAAGGAAGTATAACGCAGTTTCTGTCTAAGTGCAGAGGGCCAAAATGAAAAAGAAATAAATCTTTAAAGTTTTGAGGGGGTTTGAAAGCGCTTCAGATTTCTGTGTTGCTCCTCCAGAAAAGCCTGTACCAGAGCACCTTGTCCCTTGGTGATTGTTGACTAAAATGTTATTCTGTTTGTTTGATGCAGACTCGCACCTTATTTGCATATGTTTGAGTTATGAATACTACCACATGGGAGACTGTTTTACTTCAGGTTATGTTTTAATGAGTAAGTATGAAAGTAAACTCTTCTATTAGAGCTGTGTAAGTGTTGTCTTTGCAAGCATTCAAAACTGACAGCTGAGATATTTTCCCCACTGCTAGAACTTCCCTCAGCTGAAATAAGGGAATAACCTACTTTGTGTGGATGCAAGAGATGTTCTAAAAAAGGAATAGATGAACAGTAAGAATATATTACAGCAAGCTGTAGGATTACAATCCTGTTTTTTGTAATAATCAGATTTTATACCCTGTTTTTTTTTTTTTTTTACAAAGGTAGAACTGGATTTATTAGAACTAAAATAAGCGCTATAATACAGTGCAAGTGAGAAATGGCAAACTGTGGCACATTACAGGTTTAGGATTAAGTATAATCAGTTAATATTGTGCTAGTCTAGTCTAGTCTAGATATGCTTGGGCTGTCTACTGCAGTAATCAAAGATATGTCAGACCCAGGTCTTCATACTCTTATTTTCTCACTAAAAAAAAGGTCATTTAGAATGTTTTCACAACACGGTTGCAAAGTCTTTCAAGACTAAATTTTGTATAATGTGGTATGGGGTTTAGCTCAGGACGTAGAACATGTTATCTACTAATCAGGAGGTTGGTAGTTCAATGACTTGATCAAAGGGTGGCTGCTTGAAGGGTGGCTGATCCAGTCTGCATGCCAAAGTATCCATGGGCAAGATACTGAATACCAAGTTGGAATGTGAAAGTTAGATCGAAAGCACTTAGGTGTATATATAAAAAAAATTAAAAAATGTTATCATGTTTGGCTTGACAAGAGGTGGAACTGAAGGTGGAACACTTACAGATGCAATGTTTTCACTGGGAGTGACCACAATGAAATACATTAGACATGAACACATCAGAGAGACAGCTTGGGCTGAGTGGTCTGGAGACAAAGTTAAGAGACACAAGACTGAAGTGGTTTGGACATGGGTAGAGGAGGGACAGGGGATATATATTGGACAATGAGTGTTTTAAATTGTGCTGCCAGGCAGGAGGAAAAAAGGAAGACCATAGAAAAGGTTCATGGATGTACTGAAGGACATGCAAAGATTTGGTGTGATAAAACTGAATGCTCGAGATAAAGTGAGATGGGGGAAGATCCACTGTGACGACCTCTAAAGGAAGCACCTAGAAGAAGTATGCTACATTAAAAAAATATACAAACAAACAAACAAATAATGTAACAATATTAAAGCACAAAGAAGGAGTTTTAAGAAAAAAAAAAGTTCAGATGTTTAGTTTGATGTATAGGAGACACATAAGGTACACAAGGTTTACTGAGCCTGGATATAATTTATATAAGAGTTTGCAGTGATATTATAATTGATATATTTTTAGTATTTATAATATTTAGCATACTATAAATTAATAACATCATAATTGATGCAGTTAAACATAATCTTGAAATATTGTCGCACGTACACAAAGGCATATTCTGGTGATTTCAAAAGAGCATTTGTAGTCCAAAGCTTTCAGGCGCTCGACTCCGTTTCACTCCGAACACTCTGGTCCGTGATTTCACGATAATCTCGTTAACGTCACAATCAGGAAGTGAGTGCGGAAATGCTCTCACAGCTGTTGCTTACTGCTGCAGATAGTTTCCAGCCAGGTCTTGCATGTCACCAAGCAGCGTTTCTGTCAAGATGTTGAAGTCGGTCATTTTAATCGGAGGCCCCCAGAAAGGTAACTCTTTTCCTTGGCGTGTTTTCAAAGTCATTAACGTGTGTTTAAAGCAAGGCTAGGCTGCTAATGCTAACAGGCTGGCTGAAGTTGTTTTTATCACTGACGTGTCACAACGTGTCCCACGAACAAGAAGTTAAATCTTACCCATATAGCTTTTATACCCTAATATTTTATCACCACGTCTTGTAAACTATAGTCCAACCTGAGCACAGATTTTTTTTTTGGAAAACCCCCCAAAACTTTAGCTTGCCTTCCACTACTGATGCATTAATGTCATTCCCTCTCAGCAAGCGTGACAGTTATTTATAGAAAAGTATTTTAGATTACTTATTCTATTTAAAAAAAATAGTAAAGTTTAATAATAAAGTTAATGGGTGTGTAATGAAAGGCTCTATAGCTCGGCAAGATCGTCTGTCTTTTATTTTATACTTAGGAGAAACCAGCTACATACATACAGTACCCTTTACTGTGTCTGCTTTGTATTCTTATCTTTTTAACGACTGAGCCCTCGTGATATGATTTGCTCAGATTTTTCCATTTTCAAACAGAAGATGGCATGCTTTGGAGGAACAGCCCAAAACAAATAATAAAATAAATAAAATAATACATAAAAAAAAATAAATCGTGAAAGATTGAAAGACAAAATTATAGAAGAGGACTGATATGTAAAGCACACAGAACAGAAGCTCGCAGAAGGCAGGCAAGAACAGAGTGATGATGACAGAATTGAGTGTGAGAGCATGGTGAAGGTGAAAGTGATGTAAAGAATAGACTACCAACCCAAGCACTCAGAACTGTAGGCAGATTAGTAAATGCAGATCTTCTCATGCATAAACTCCTTGTTATATAGTGATGACACAAGTGAGACCCTGAGCATTAAAACAGCAAGTGTCTTTCCGCTGCTGAAAAAATATCCTTAGATCCCACTGTTTTATATAATTACAAGCCAATTTCCAAACTCCTGTTTATTTCTAAAAGCCTTGAGGAAGTTCTTGCTCGTTAGTGTCTTTAGATTGTTGAAGGAAGAACATCTTAAAATAAGTTAAATAAATTCCAGTCGGGTTACCAACAAAACCACAGCTCTGAAACAGCTTTATTGGAGATTGCCAATGGCATTCTTATGCACTAAGAGAAGGGTGAACATTCTATTTTAGTCTTGCTTGACTTATCTGCAGCCTTTGTTCGTGCTACTCTTATTAATAGACTACAAAACAGGCTGGCATCACTGGTACTGCTTTCAAATGGTTTTCTTCATACTTATTGAACAGATACCTCAGAATTCATATTAGTCAATGTATGTCCACCTCTGAACCCCTCAGGGCTCAGTTCTTGGACAATTTCTGTTTTCTTTCTATATGTTACATGTGCTTCTGCTTAATAGTTTAAATGGATTCTCCTATCATTTTTTATGCAGATGACACATAATTGTACTTTTCTGTCAAGCCCAACAACCTCAAGAGCCCCTCCTACCTCAGTGAATGCTTGCATCTCAAAAGACACTTGTTTGTCTTTTTAATTCACCTCAGAACTGGTACAAAAATGAAACCTGCTATTCAGTCGGAGTTAGAAAACCTGTCCGCCACTCGGACTTTAAAACTAGAGGTGACTGTGCTTTTGAGGTTGTTTTGCCTAAACTGTGCAACTGCCTTCCTCAGTCAATCAGGTTTGCTGACTCTATGACTCTAAAATTAGCTTAAAAGTAATTTTTAAAGGTTACCTTTCCCTTAATCTTTTCCTCTTTATTTTCAACTATAGTAAAATTGTGTGTATGTGTGTATGTTTGAATGAATGTCTAATCATGTGGTTGATTGTGTCTGTTTGTCTTAATGTTAACTTGTATATCTATCTGCTATGTGTGAGTTTAATTTGAACTGTTACGCACATGTAATCCTTTGTTTTGAAAAGTGCTATACAAATAAAGTTGTTATTATTATTTTTCTTAAAATATTCAAACACTGTTTTTCAGGCACAAGATTCAGGCCACTGTCATTTGAAGTGCCCAAACCCCTGTTTCCAGTAGCTGGTGTTCCCATGCTTCAGCACCACATTGAAGCATGTGCCAAGGTAAGTTTCATTTTAAAGTATCAGATTGTCACTAGTTTTGAAATGTTGGCTCTTGTTTGTTTTTTTCTTTTTTGTAAGAGCTTAGTAATTCTTAAAATACTAAAGCAACTGTCGCCTCATTAGTAGTTGGTGTTGGGAATTTCTTGGCCTGTGTTTTGTGACAGACAGCATCCACAATCACTCTAATGCTGATCCTTTTTGTTTTCTTTTTTTATATATAGGTTCCAAATATGAAGGAGATTTTGCTCATTGGTTTTTATCAGCCAAATGAAGAACTGAATAGATTTCTGTTAAATGCACAGCAGGAGTTCAAAATTTCAATCAGGTAAACAGTGGAGCTGTTGGCTTTGCTTTTTTATAGAAAAATGTTTACATTTCCTGGGTATATCGATAGCAGCGACACGAGCTTGTGAGAATTAGGAGGATGTGATAGTTCAGTGTCAAGATTTAGAAATACATTTTGTATACGACACAAACCAGAACACCATTTTGATTCTGTTTGTCTTTAGTTATTCTTTTTTGTGGCAAATGTAATGCTTTACTTGCTACTGTGCACGCCCATTGCTAAATACCTGTAGATATTTCACTCTTCTTAACTCCTCACCACAGGTACTTGCAGGAGTATGCAGCCCTGGGCACTGGAGGGGGCATCTATCACTTCAGAGATCAGATTGTCTCTGGCAGTCCAGAGGCTTTCTTTGTACTGAATGCTGATGTTTGTTCAGCATTTCCTCTTACAGAGATGCTCAGCTTTCAGAAAGAACACGGAGAACCAAACAGCTTTGTTATCCTTGGGACAACGGTAAAACGTTATAATTAGTTTCTGGAACGTGAACTGTCGTGAAAGTAAAACTAGATTTACTTGGTTGGTTTTTCTTTGACTTTTTGACTACAATTAAAATGGTTATATTAGATCTTTTCTCTTTATAGAATTTGAGATTATGCTAAATTATATTGACATTTTCTCTAATTAGGCAAACAGAAAGCAATCCATGAATTATGGCTGTATTGTGGAAAACGAAGAATCGAACGAGGTATTTAACCATTTGGTCTTCCTAGACAGTTACTCTGTACTGCTGAAACTTAAAATTATGATTAATCTTTCTTTTTTGATATGTAGGTCTTGCATTATGTGGAAAAGCCAAGCACATTTGTGAGTGACATCATCAACTGTGGTATATACCTCTTTAACCCAGACATCTTCCAACATATTGGCGCAGTCTTCCAGAAGAACCAGCAGGACATGTTACTGTGAGTTGTAGCTGTCCCACTTGTTGGTATGTGTGTGGGAATGTGTGTGAATACCATTTACTCCATTTCTTTGTTTCTCTTCATTTGTCTTTTTTCCTTCCTTTCTCCTCCCTGCCATGTTTTCTGTCTCTTCATACAATCATCAGATATCCCTATGATGGGTAAGTGGGTATGATTAGGTTGCATGGTGTGGTTTTAGAGCACTTAGTGTATGGGGTGAGAATTCCTTGTGAATGCTACTTGTATCACTTTTCTGTGCACAGTGACATGGAAACAATATTTTTTTGTTTCTTAGATTTCATGGTCTGACATTTTGAGCACTGTTTACATTCAGTTCAGTTTTGTTTAGCTTAACACAAAGACTGGAAACTGGTAAAACAGCTCTTTGGATTTCTAGGTGAAAAAATGTCACTTAGTACTTTTCAGTCTGTACACAAGCCATAATTTAAACTCAGTTTACCATTGTTCTGTTGGTGTACCCAGGTTTTACTAATGACGTCCTAGCTGGACTATTTTAAGAAATAAATAAGATTATGCTTTGTGAAACAGCTCAAGATGTTGAAAATTAACTAAACGTATCAACAGCTATAATGTTATGTCAAAGATGTCTCTGCATTGTATTTAAAAGATATCTAGTAATGTTAGAATGCCAACCAGATTATTGTTTGCTTATCGTCGTTGCAGTCGTTTTGTCACATGACAACTGTAACATCACCACAGCGCCATCCCCACCTTGAGTATACTTTCCACTTCTGCAAGTCTGCTAGGGCATGCTCAGGTCAGAGTCGTGCAGATTTTGTCATTAGACAGTGAGCACGATGGGTCTGTGCGGCCTTCTGTGTGTCTGCCTGTTGTTCACGACCATGCCAAGTCATCCACGGAGATTTTACATTATAGTACGCCAACTACTCATGCGCTGCAGGCTTCAAAGAGGTATAACAGGAATCACTGCTCAGCTGTCAGATCTCCTGCTGTCCATGTCGGTGTCTGCAGCGGAGTATAAACGAGCCTTTATACTGACACTGAGCGCATGCCAGACTTGCTGCATTCTTCTGCTGAAATATGCGCGTCACCACTCAGATAAAACCTCTGCATCAGCACTGCTATAAGAGTAGAAAAAATTGAAACCAGAAAAAAAAGCAACACAAAGTTTTCTTCATAAAGTCTTATCTCCTTTTGCAGCATCTCCCCTTGTATAATCTGGGAATCCCTGAGCACCTGATATATACTGATACATCACTGATCGAACACTGGTGTCTTCAATCCAACTGTGCCAGAGTTACAAAAAGTCAAAAGGGGCACAAAAAACTGAAATGACTCAGGCCGGCAGTTGTGATGTTGCTTTTCAGGATGGTGACAAGGGCAGGTATAAATAGGCTTTTAGTCTGGCCTGTGTAATACCACATTTCGCCTCTAGATAGGATAGTAAATTCATCTAGCTTCTGTTCTGCCCATATTTTTCCCTACTGTCTTTGACCTCTAGTCAGTCATGTTGAAGGACTAGCAGGCAGTGAATGAACCAGTAAACACAGTAAACTGAAGCTCTTGGCAAGAGCAAGATTAACAGGAGCCAAGATTTTGCTGCTGCTGACTTCAGTATGTCCTAGAAGCTTAACTAGCTTCAGATCAGGAGGTACCATTGCCTGCTTTTATGAAACATCGCTAACCCCTCTAGTGTAGAGCACTACATAAAGCATCTGTAATGGAGGATAATGTTCATATTTAATAAGAATGGTTATTCAGTCCTCTTACCTTTTCCAGGAGTAGTTGCAAATTTATAGAGTATAGACAAAATGCAATTCACATCCATATGCGTAGGTTTAAAGAAACATCTACGCTATTGTAACCTGCTCTTCTGAGGAACTGCATTTTGAAATGATCGCTTTATTTATTTATTTTTTAAAGAGGCTCAACACATTTAGTTGTCTCTATAGTTTCTGCTCTGAATAAGCTAGAAAAAAACTATAATCGAGATAGTGAAGCTTCATGTCAAACTGATACAGATGTCTCGCTTTGCTCATCGCTTCACTAGAAGACTTGCTTTTTATAATATAATAATATGCATGTGGACTGAGTGTACCCTGCTATTTCACAGAAGCTACAATAAAACATGGGATCAATATATGTTTTTGGTTTTTTTAATACAATCTTTGATACTTTTTCAGTTTGTTTTCACTGTACAGTAGCTGACCTAACAAATACCACACCAAGGACACTTGAAATATATTACAACAGGTCAAACCGCGCTTTGCATAATTCACCTGCTAACATCAATAGCACTTAAATCAAGCTGGGCACTGAATCAGCAAAATTGTTGAACACATCAGAGATACTTGATAGAAATAAGAAGGCTTTTACTGCAGTCTCTTGGGGACCGCTTCGCCTCTAACCACACCCCCTCCTTCTTGGTAAAACTTCGATTATGGGTGCAATCCTTTAAAATATTCTTTTCATCAATATTTAACACTCTGTTTCATCTCAGGGCTCTCACAATACACTATGCCAGAGGCCCTGATTAGTATGGAACACATAGTCTCTTCTACTTAAGTTTTGGATCACAACTAGGTAATCAGCTTTGGTTTCAGCCCAGCACTGACACCATCAAAGATAACAGTGATGCATTTTAACTCAGTGTTCTCATTTGACTCTGCAGGCTGGATAGTAGGGCAATAAATTCATGTTTTCTTAAGAGACTTTAGAGGTAATGGGAACCGCTGGGTTGTTGTTGTTTTTTTCTTTGTTTTTTTTTTTTGTACACAACTAAATATTTGAAGAATCTCAATAGCTACTCAAGAACAGGAGGAGTGAAAGGGGAAAACGGGATGTAATTCTCATTTCTTTATTCACCTTTGGCAAGAAAAAGGAACGTGATAAAACTTCACATTTTGTATATGTGAATTGTTTATTTGATGTTTGGAGAGAAAGCTGAACCTGATCATTAACGACCAACTCTGGTTATAAATAGGTGTGCTTGGTCTGCGCTGCAACATTGGCATGCAAGTCATCAGTTTTCGTCTTGGTGAGCAGGCAAGGCTTGGCCACAGCTTTAGGTTATGAATTCTGGAAAACTTGTCACCTCATTTTTTCCAAAATTCAGAAAATATACGGTTTCAGCTGACACTTGAAAAATAAAGTTTCGTTCAGTTGAGGGTAGTTTATGCCGATTCTGTCTTGAATTTAATTCCAGCCTCAAGCTTTGTGCACAATATTTTAAAAAATGGGATTTGTAACTCTGTGCGACTGATGATCTATTTCTGGCAGAGAGGAGCCAACCAACGGCTGGCACCGAGCTGAGGCCATCAGGCTGGAGCAGGACATTTTCACTGCCCTGGCAGGACAGGGAAAACTCTACGTATATAAAACCCTCAGCTTCTGGAGCCAGATTAAATCTGCAGGGTGAGTGAATGTGTCATAAATGGTGTCGCATTCAAGAGAGCATAAATTTGATACTGCAACCCTGAATGTCAAAGAATATGGGAGACACTGGACTTGCATGCATATAGGCTCCAAACCTTGTTGAAGTACAACTTATTTCTTTGACACAGAGAGTGAGTTTTTATAGTTGTTTATACAGTCCATGTAGACTCACCAAGGAAGTCTTTGTGCAGTGCGATTATGCTATAAGCTGTACAAAAATGTAAATTACCACCTTAAATGAAGAGACTCTTGATTTATACTCATTTATTTATTTTATTTCTTTGACTTTTTTCCCCCCTCAGGTCTGCAATTTATGCCAGTCGATTGTACCTCAACCAGTATCACACAACTCATCCTGAAAGACTGGCGTCAAATAAGGAGGGAGGCCCCAAAATAACTGGTACAATTTATTAACTTCCTGTATCTTTTTTTTCCTTCCTCATAATAACACAAACAAATCTATTTAGACTTGCTTTCTTTTCCTTTCTCCAGGTAATGTCTATATTCATCCTACAGCTAATATTGATCCCACAGCTGTGGTAAGGGTTTTCCTTATATGCTTTAAATAGAAATGGCATGTCCTGTTAACAGCAGAGCCTCATATTAAAAATTTTGTACTGCATTTAACTCTAAAAAAGAGAAGAATGTGCTTTTAGATGGTCTGATAAGTTAATTTGGTGTTACTAGTTGAAATGGTACAGATATTATCTCACGCAGTAATTTATTTTCTCTTTGCAGTTGGGTCCCAACGTTTCCATCGGCACTGGAGTGACTATTGGCGCTGGTGTCAGAGTTCGAGAATCTATCATCCTCCATGGTGCAAATTTACAGGTGACTGCCTCTGAATATAAAGTACACTGTTAGAAAAAAATCATGCGTGATATCGATACTGATATGGACTGGGTAACGTGTTAGGAATGAAAGGATGACAGGTTGGAAATGAAAGTGATCAACTTACAGAGGGTTGTATTCAAAGACACCTGAAAGTCAGAAGTGGAAAAAATGACGTGACAGTCTATTTTGCCAAAAATTGCAACTCAAAATGGTACTCAGTAGTTTATGTGGCCCCTGCGTGCTTGTATGCATGTCTGGCAAGATGGGCGCATGTTCCTGATGATGAGGCAGATGGTGTCCAGGGGGATATCCTCCCACATCTGGACCTCAGCGTCACTGAGCTCCGGGACAGTCTGAGGTGCAATGCGGCATCGAATGGACCGAAACATGATTGGATTTAGGTTGGGCGATCATGGGGGCCAGTCGGTGGTATGACCTCCTTCATTCTTTAGGAACTGCCTGCATACAAACTGCCACATGAGGCCATGCATTGTTGTGCACCTTCTCCTCTTTGCACAAAGGAGCAGATGCCAGTGCTGCTGATGGATTAGGAAGCTTCTACGACCCTGTTCAGCTCTCCTAGAGTAACTGTCTATCTCCTCCATGCTCTTGAGGCCCTGCTCATAGACAAAGCAAACCTTTTAGTAATTGCATGTCTTCATGTGACTTCCTGGGGGAGTTGGACTACCTATGCAGCCCCTGTAGGGTCCAGGTATCGCCTCATGCTACCAGTGGTGACACTGACCCTACCTGAATACAAAACTACAGTGAAAAAATAGGAAGTAAGGATGTTGTTTCATCACTGCTTCTTTTCTAGTGCACCTGTTGTTAATTTCATTAAGACGAAAGCACCTGAAACTGATTAACAACCCTCTCTGCTACTTAACTGACCAGATAAATATTCCAGAAGTTTAACTGACTTGATACTCTGATTTAATAGCGTTCCTTTAAAGTTGAGCAATGTAATTTCCAATTCCCTGCTCAACTTGCTTCACTTCATCAGACATGTCTTGCTTGGCATTATACTAAACATCAAACTAATTGACATGGAGGTGAATTTATCTGAAGTGATCAGCTTTACATTTTATCCACACTTCAGCTGTGACCTCTCTGAAATTTATCTTTACTCATCTGTCACACTAGAAATATCGTTGCATGCACCTCACACAAAGATGTCATTTTTAACGATTTTGAGGCCGGAATAATTGAATCCCACACCTCCAGCGATGACTGGCAGCCTTTTAAAATGAATTTATACTGCTGGTGACTTATTGGTTTTCATTGTGCATTGCCTAGAAGAACAATTTGTAATTTAAGCGATACTTACAAATCATCACTACCTGTTGTAATACTCACTGCTTTTTTCCTCTCTTCATGTTTGAACAATCTCTAATGGAGGAGTGATGCTTAAAGTGGAGTTTCAGGGCTTCCAAGGACTAATGACCTATAGCCAAGGGTTCCGCAAAATAATCAAGTGTAAGATGGGGACCACATAGGAAAAGAAAAAGAGCATATTCCACCCTCTATTCTTATCTATATTATCTCTGAGAGCCAATAGAATCACTGAATTGATTGTTACACACTATGGTCAGGTATCCTTGGAATACGTGACCTCATATCCCCCCGTCTCCCCCAGAATTTGGAACACCTGTATTAAAGCAGATGTGGAGACTTGAAACACAACAATTACCTGCTGAAGGCTTCCCGATTTTTGACTAACTTCCTTTCCCCCTCTTCCACAAGGATCACTGCTGTGTTTTGAACAGCATTGTGGGATGGGATAGTACCATTGGCAAGTGGGCAAGAGTAGAGGGAACCCCAAGTGACCCAAATCCAAATGATCCCTATGCAAAGATCGACAGCGAGACACTCTTCAGAGAAGGAAAACTCACCCCCTCAATTACAATTCTAGGTAAGCCTGCTCTGACTTGAAATTATATATCTGTTCAAATATTGTGTTCGGTATATTGTTCTGAGAAATGAAGTTATTGGAAAGAAACCAATACCTAAGGCCCAGTTCCTGCATGTATTTGAATAGTTATTTAAGATATTTGTGAATAAGCTTGTAAATCACAGGTAAGGCACTTTGAATGAGGTGGTATGCAAATTAAAATTCTCTAATTGTCACACTTGTTTTTACATTTCAGTAAACTGTGGCTAAAAAGAGCTACACAAATGATGTTAGGGAGTGATGTGAGAGTCAGCACAGCAATAAACTGTCTTTGTCCTTTGCAGAGACTTAATACTGCCTTGCTTTGTCTCCTCAGGTTGTAACGTGACGATCCCCTCTGAGGTGATTATACTGAACTCAATTGTCCTCCCACATAAAGACCTCAACCGCGGCTTCAAAAACCAAATTATTCTCTAGTTAATCTTCCTCACGCTTCTGTCCACTTATTGTCACTGATGAAGGATGCTGCTGCCCAACTGCTGGCTCTGTCTCTGAGTTACTGTATATAAGATGTCAGAAATGAATATATGGAAGATTCATTTCATAGTTTTGAAAGATAGATTTTTCTTTTTATATATATATATTTGTCCTCGAGCCTTTATGCAACATTGAGTGTCAGCAACATTAGAGAGAGGCTAATCATGCATGTTGATTCACCTTGAAAGGTTCCGTCATGCCAGAGGTTTTATATTGTTTTTACTTATTAAATTTACCGAACTGTAAAATTACCGCAGACACTAATGTAATGTATGTAGTTGGATTTAATATGATGTAAAAAATTAAATAATAAAAAAAAAGAGTTTATAGATAACACATATTCTGTTTCTCAAGGGCATCCTTGACAAACGTGAACTGTTACTTCAACATGAGACGGGAAATTATTGGAAAATAAAAATCACTGGCTACCAACTGTGGTTAATTTTAAGAAGTGATTATTTTTCCGGAGCGCTGATTAAAACCTTTTAGCAGCTTCATTGTTAGTCTAAAGAATTGTCTGCCATCAAAATAAATCAGCAGACTTGAGATTTACATTGCAATCAAGCAATGTTGCCTTTGGAAATGTGAATTTTGTGGGAGTGGAGTGCTTTTCCCAGCAACACGAGATACTTAAATTGTGCAATCACTGAAGAAACTCTTCCAGTTTATGTATACAGCACATTAACATTTACTTATTAGGCACCCATGATCACTTCGGTACTTTTGCTTTAATTATTACAATGAGAGTGTCTATCGAGAAAGTCTAAACTCTGATACTGGAAGTTCTTTATAATATATTTTAATCAAATCTGTTTTGTACATTTGAGCATACTTTTTTTTTTTTTTAGTCATGGTGGGTTGGTGTCAGGTTTTACATGCTTTTCACTGTTAATTCAGGTGCCTTAGAGCTTCAAAAGACTCAGCCCAGTTGATGATTATCCCACCAAGAGGATAAAAACACTATAATGAGGCCCTGTAGCCTGGGATGAGGCAAATCTCCATGTTCCCCAGATGAAAGGCAGTCCTAAAATTCATTAGATCAAATAGGTTTTCCACTCCCATAACAGTAAAAATTTACAATTTATTTATGCAGAGAAGTACTAGCAGTTATAGAAGTAGTAGAACTTGTATGGCTAAACTGCAGTATTACTTACCAAACATCTAACAGCATGCTTGTCCAGCTTTTCTTTTCTTTTTTCATTCTGCCTTTGGGGAGAAATGGTTTGTATGTGAGCAGGGAAACCGTGTTAAAACATGTCTAAAATATACAGGACAGAGTGACAGAAACCATCAGGTGGGAAAGGCAGCAGAGGTGACATGTGACAAATCCTCCCTGCTTGGGCTAAATGAAGAGCATTTCAGTGTGGTGAGTCAGAGAGCATAGTGTGTGTGCTCATCTTTTTCAGTCAACATAGATTTTTAGAAGTGGGTATTTAAACTCCTCTGCTCTTATGTCTTTGTTCCCTGTATGTTATAATTATTGTCATCACCACTGTAACCTCCACTTGGAAATGAATACTGATTCAAAGACTGTCCTTCTATCAATATAAATAGATAGAGATAGATAAATATATAGATAGATGAATATTTCATTATCAGGAAAACAATAATGTTTGCTGAGGAGCTGCTGTATATACCGTACTTGGTCATCCTCTTCATTTTCATGCCAGCCCTTGTTACTAGCTGCTTCCACAATCTGACCAGCCACTCTCGTGCTACGTGTTGTGGTTAACAGTTGGGTAGTACAGTGTGTCTTTAGTAAATAAAGCATGAGGAAAGCTTAAGTGTCTCTATTAGCCTTTAGAAAGTCTCCACTGGATGGATCCAATCTGTATTGTACTGGTGGGTTAAAATGCAGAATTTGATTCATGAATCACGACTTGTGTCTATTACAGACATGTGAGGTATTCATATAAGGTGATACTCTGATCTAAACAGATGACACTAAGTAGATCAATTACAATTAACTAGATGCTTACACATCAATTTTAAACAAATAGATTTTTTTTTTAAATAATACATTTTTGGAGCTAATGACTTTGAGTGTACAACTTCCACAGTTCTGACTGTTTCTATTAGAGGCCAGGTTAGTGAAATGCTTGTCTCCTTGTCAAGATCCATTGAGCAGCCATTGATCTGCTGGCTGGTGACATCCAATTCCAGTGCCTCACTTCCTGCCAGTTTGAGACTAGACTCGCGTGTGTCCTGCGTGTGCTTCAGTGCTTACGATGCTGAATGTTTCTCGCTGCTGAGCTCTTTGAACCATATTTAATTTCCGGTGACCCCTTCAAAAAGTGAGAGTCGAATCTTCGAGTTTTTCAGGGCAGCCCTTCCTTGAAAGACCATGATCTGCTGTATTCAGTAAAGGTTTGCAGGAATTTAATTATTATAATATGACTTAAATTAACTTGGGTGAGTGATGAAACGTTTCTCCCACTGAAAATGCTACGTCCAGATGAACAGAATCAACTTTTTGGGACTTAAATTAATGTTTATTTGTGTCTTAAGCAAACTCTTTGCAGCTTTAGATCAGGACTCACTGAAATTGCTCATACATGTCTTTGTGGACCTTACTTTGTGCACTGATATGCAGACATGTTGGAACAGCAAGTGGTCATCTCCAAACTTCAACAAAGTTGGGAGCATGAAATTGTCTAAACAACAACAAACACCTTGATGTGCTGAAGCATTAAAGAGTTTCCTTTTAGTGGAACTAGAGGGCCCAGGGATGCAAAATGTAGCTCAGCCTCTATTAATGTAACAAGCCCAAGTTTCAGATGCAATTAAAATGGATAGCATAAGCCCCAGGTTTTAATAATATGTAATATGTGATGATGTATGACAGTAATAATAGCCAAAATAATAAAAAGATAATTCCCACAAGCTGTAGTATTTTTCCAATCTTGGTAGCAAGGAGGCATGCAAAGACAATGGCAACGATGCATGTCAAATTCTGCACGTTTCTTCACGTACACATCAATATTAACATCAACATACACATTACAAAGGTTTGATTTTGAAAAAACAAAACTACCAACTGAGATGATGGCCCGTAACCTTAGTGGACAAACTTAATGTCCACTGATATGAAAGAATAAACAATGAAATCAGCTTCACTGGTCATTGTTTGCTTTCAGATACTCTGAATGTGTGTAGGGGGTCTAACAGTGGGAGCTAGACCAACTTTGGGCAAAGGTCCAGGGATGTTTCCACTTGAGAGGACAGGTGAAGGGTTTGCATGTCAGTACACTGAAAGAAAGATGCCTAACAGAAGCCTAAAGGATTGACAAATGAGCTGTCAAATAGAAACTGACATCTCACGGTGCTCAAATTCATACGGTAAAGAAAAACAGGATTTGGCTGTCATACATCGCCGGTGAATGCTAATGTTTTGCTAAACTGTGCTCTGAGAACATCCAAGCCCACCAGTTCCCCGAAGAGGTGTAAAGAGGGCATTTTTGTTCTTACTCAGCAGACGTGCTGTGTTGTAGAAATCTTTCGTTTTTGACTTTGAAAAATGCATTGTAAAACAAACCAAAACATAACAGAAAGTCAGACAATAAACTTGTCTCAAACCTCAAGATTTAAAGTTACATTTGTTACAAATTTTACAGCATTTGTTTTCAACCCCTTGCGGAAACTGATTTGATATCTTTTTTTTCCTCTTATAAATAAAATGCTGCTTCTCCTGTTGAACAACCAGACATATACTATAAATCCTCTCTTATCTTTTATGTGTTAGGCATATTTTCCCTTTTGCACTTTAGGAGGACAGCTTGTTTAATGCAGAAAAACTAATAAAATACCTTACACTGCAAAAACAAAAATGAATGTGGACATGAAAATATAAAAATATTATACCATATGCATGACATCCAACTTACAGAGTCTTGAACAAGTGAAATGATCATTTCATATTCTTACTTTATTTTTTCAGAATGATTTTTCAAGATGTGTCCTTGAAGGTGCCTTAACAAATACACACAAGCTGCTCATTTCAGCCTCTGCAGGGCACACTGAGTCAGGATTTAGCAAGATAAATACAGCCTCTATAGATTTTTGCTGAAATGTTGACAGTCTGACTAATACGGCTGTGATTCATACCTTCGTGGCACCACATAACAGTATTTTTCTTTTAAAATCTGCCTGGTTGTCACAGTGATTCCACTCCACCAGTTGACAGCTTTAACTGGACTTTAAATGTAGCTTTTAGATACTGCTCTGAAAACATAAATTCAGCAAAGTTGCTCTGCAGTTCGATGATGTTTATAGTTCCATTTGTGTTTTTCTTTTCTCTGTATGCTTTGTGAAGTTTAATACAGAGAGGTTGAGCCAAGTCTGAATCCCTACATTGAAACAGTCTTAGTTCCACTTCTCTCACCAGGCTGAACTTTCATAAACTTGGCTGCTGTCTCTCCAGCAAAGGATTTACCACAATGTCTGAAATGAAATAAAATTGCAATTGCATAAACTCCCCACCCCCCTCCTTTTTTTTTTTTTACTTGTAGAGTACAGTTTTGTGAAACGCTTTTATTGCAATGCACAGACACTGCATTAGTTAACCTTTCTTCAAAGTACTGTTGAGGATCTCCTTATAATTTAATAAAAGAAATTCTGAGATATTGACAACAGCAAATTAAATGCAAAACCACAATGATACTCATTTGACAAGTGGAAGTAGACAATAGACTGTACATAAAAGATGGACATAGCTTCTGGTTGTCAAGCAACTTAAATTAAACAATCCTTTCATTGGCCGACAGAGGGCAACAGCTGTGGTTGATTAAACATGTCTAGTTGTGGAAAATAAACAGTGATTGCTCCCCTGCTGTTAATACCGACTTTCAGGTTTCAGCCATTATGTTAATTATAGAGTGAAAAAGAAGGATAAAGTATGGTATTCATTACTTTGTGATTAAGAAGTTGACAGTCTATGAACATGCATTATATATATATATCAGCCTTGAGACGGCTGCTTTTATGCAGGGTGACATTAATATTGCCCAAATGAGCTGTTGGAGTCAGTTGTAGACCTGCATTTAGAGCTGCTGGGACAACCAGAACGGTACTAATGTCCTGGAATAGCACTAAAGTAACAAATACTGATCAGGTTTGCAGACCACAGATAGTAAAAAAACAATGTTTCCTTTTAAGAGAATAGTGTATTTAGTGTATATAATTATTTTGTTTTCTTTGTTCTTTTTAAATGCACTGTTTGCTTTTTGTCAATTTTTACCAGTGAATCATTAAGATGACCTTCAAGAATGTGGTGGATGTAAGCCACATTTTAATCGTGTTTACAGACAAAATGACACACAAACACACATGCAAGCAAACACTATCATAACCACAACTTCCCAAGCATTCAAATGTTTCAAAATACATGAACTGAATAGAAAATAATAAGGTAGAATAACAGAGAAGGAACAAAG